CTGTCTTTGAGAGAGTTGGTGACAAGCGCATCTGCAAGACACGGTGCAGGATGTTAACTCGTGCGCCTGGTTTCAAGCGAAGGGAGCAAAGTCAGTGGCGCGTGCTGTCATAGGTGCACGACCGGGCATGCCACCAGCCGATGTCTTTTTCACTCTTGCGTTTGCCCCTGTCCATGAGAAGCTGAGAGGTAGATTCTTTGCAGAAGGGATTACGATTGATATTCAAGAGTTGCTGCCAGAACTGCCCATATGCTTTCGCGACAGGGGGCGTGACACTGATTCCGTCGTCGGATCACCGTCATATGTTGATGACTTGGCGGTACTGCAGATGAGCACGAGCGCACGTGATTGTCCTCGCCTCGCCTCCGTCGTAGTTCGTATTGTGCATGAGGTCATGTCGTCGTCTGGTTTCGTAGTTAACTATGGGGAGGGTAAGTCTACCTTGCTTTTTGGGCTTGAAGGTAAGGGGAAAGGTTCAGTGCAGGCTGAGCTTGCAGATATGAAGGGTCAGTTTCAGGTCTCGAGCATAGGCAAATGCGTGTATATGGCCAACGTTTGCAAGCATCTAGGATCCATGATCCACGTGTCGCGTACCATGACGGCGGAGCTCATGCACCGTCACCGCTCACAGCTTGGCGTTCTGGGTGCTCTTAAGCGTGCTGTGTTTAAAACAATAACGACTTGGACGTGGCTCATAAGTACAAGTTTTGGGCTGCCTACTGTCACAGTCGGGTCCTGTTCCATGGTGCCGTGTGGTCTGGGCTTTCGTGTGGTAACCTGCGGTTCCTGGAAACTGCTTACTTGGCCTCAATGCGGGCTGCGATGGGGTATAGACGTCAGGAGGAGGATGATGTGCGTGCCTGGTCCACCCATGAGTTGTACGTTGCCTGCCGACGTTTGCCGCCTCCCGTCGTGCTCCAGTTGAGAAGGCTTCGGTTTTTGCCCAAACTCCTGGACTCCGCTTCCCAGGGCCTTTTGCACATGTTGGACGCCTTGATCGAGGCGAAGGGCAGCTGGGCCCAGATGATTAGTGCGGATTTTGTTTGGATGGCCGATCGAATCAGCGCGCCTGCGATACACCGTCCTGTTGGCGGCACGTCTTGGTGGATTTACATGGCCCGCACGGACAGAGCAATGTGGACCTCTTGGTGTCGGGAGGCCGAGCGTAGTGCTCTAGCGGAACACTTAGCGTTGGCCGAAGTAGCCATATGGAGAAGTGAATTGCACGATATATGTTTGCGAGGCAACCTTCCTGTACCCCATATTCTCAAGCCTGCTGCGAGCGAGCTCGTTTATCCCTGTCGGGACTGCGACCTAGTCTTCAATTCTAAAGTGGCATGGTCGCGGCATCGGACACTGGCTCATCCAGTGTTCGACCTGGCGGGACGCGTCGCAGTGGGCACGGTCTGTCAAGCATGCTGTCTGGATTGGAGCAGGCGCAGCCGCCTGCTTCGACATCTCCGCTTCGGTTCGCGGCACTGCTTAGCTCAGCTGGTGCATCATATGGAACCGCTATCAGTTGAGCAGGTGTGTGAGCTACGTGCTGAGGACGCCCGAGAGGCGCGTGCTGGCCGTATGCGTGGGGAGTGTCAGAACTATGCTGCAGGACCGCCCGTGAGGATCATTGGCCCTGCCCTGGGAGGTGAGGTTGATCCAGTCGTCATCAGGGCGACTACGGAGGGTGTGGAGCGAGCCCAGCACCAGTTGGAGTGTGATGTGCAATCGTCTGGGCTCCCTCGACAACCGACGTTCACGAGGTATTATCTCCATCTTTTTAGTGGCCAGAGGCGTCCAGATGACGTCCAGGCACATTTTGAAGTCTTTCAGGCGCGTTCGTTGCTGCCCGTCATTATGCTATCTGTAGATGTTGCTAACAGCCCTGTTCGAGGGGATCTTACTCAGAAAAAGTCTGTGCAGCAGCTACTGTCGCTTATTTGGGACGGTGCAGTCCTGGGCGCGGTCGGAGGACCCCCATGCGAGACCTGGTCTAAAGGCAGTGCAAACCCACCTCCGTGCGGAGGCAACGGGCCACGGGTGCTGAGATCTGACAGGTGGCCCTGGGGCTTGCCAGCTCGCTCGAGGTCCGAATGGGAACAAATAATGCTGGCCAATCGATTGCTCCAGACCATGTTGCAGGTTGCATATGTGTGCATGGCTAAGGGCATTGCTTGCATCGTCGAACACCCCCTTGCGCCTCCTCTTCCTCGCCTCCCCTCTATTTGGCGCCTGCCAGAAATACGTGCGATGAGGGGAATGTCCCGTCATGCACGTGTGGAGTTTTTGTATGTGGATCAGTGTCAGTGCGGGGCCCGTTCTCGGAAACCGACAACCCTGCTCGCTGTCAACTCTCCAGGTTTGAAAGATTTGATCCGCCAGCTCCCAGGCAGTGGTGTATGTAATCATGAGTCACATCCTGAGGAGTTAGTGGGCACCCGTGCGAATGGCCAGTTTTCTACCGCCGCTGCCAAGCTGTACCCGTCCTTGCTCTCCAAAGTCATTGCGCAGGCTTTGCTCTTGGCGGCTCCCTCAGACATGACCTTGTTACAGGCAGGAACAGTGCCAGAGGTTCCTGCAGAGGTCGAGGAGTTTTTCGCGCCCTTCGACCCGTTCTACGAAGGACACGGGCGGGGGCAGTTCGCGTCGGACGGGCACCGCTAATTGTCGTGCCGCCGCCGCCGCTGCTCCCTATTTGCATGATTCTTCAGTGCGGTCTTCGGCCTCCATCGGTGCAGGAAGAAGAAGGAGGAGAAAGAGGAGGAGGAGGAGGAGAGGGAGGGGGGAAATGACAAGTTAGGTGCGCTCGCGTCTACATCTGACATCCTACCCCTCCCTCCCATCCCTTACCATGGCGCTGATTTTCTCTATCCGCGGACGCGTGTCGTAGCGGACCTGTGGCTCCGCGCGCGTGTGCGTAGTGGGTGGTGGTGGTGCGCGTGAGTGCGTGCGTGTGTGCGTGGTTGTGGTTGTTGTGGTGGTGGTGTGTATATGTGTGTGTGTGCGTGTGTGCGCGTGTGCTGTGGTGTGACGTGGTGTGGCGTCTTGGTGGTTTGGTGGTGGGCCAGGTGCGTACGCGCGTGATGGCGGTGGTGGTCGTGGTGGCGGTGGTGTGTGTGTGTGTGCGTCTGTGTGTGTGCGCGTGTGTGTGTGTGTGTGTGTGTGTGCATATGTGTGTGTGTGCGTGCGTGCGTGCGTGCGTGCGTGTCTGTGTGTGCGCGCGTCTGATGTGGTGCGACGCGGTGTAGTGTGGTGGTGGTGGGTGGGGTAGTGTGGCGGTGCGCGGTGGTGGTGCGCGTGCGTGCGTGCGTGCGTTGGTGGGTGGCAGTGGCGGTGGGTGTGCGTGCGGCGGGGCGGGGCGTGGTGCGGCGCGGTGGTGGCGGGCGGATGGGCGCGCGAGAAAGAGGCCCGCGCTGGGGCGAGAACGCCATCCTGAACGACGGGGGCAAAACACCGATCCGAAAATGAGGCCCACGCTGCAGCGGCAGCACGATTCGGAACGAGCGGGGCCCGAAAATAGGGCCGGCGCCTCAGCGAGAGCAGCATTTTGAAAAAAACGCAAGCGAAAACCCAATTCCCGGGAATCTTGTGTGTTAAAAAACAGTACGCGGGGGGGGTCTATTACTCCGTGGACGCCATCAGGGGAAGAGGGAGAGTAGTATTCATATTGAGTAAATGTATAGGAGCAGGACGAGGCGAGCAGGGCCTGGGGCCTGGGAGTCCTGGACTTTTTGTTGGGGGGCTGGTTCCCGGTGCTGGGTCCTGCGCGGCGCAATTTATGCGGTGTAATATTAGCGGTGCAAGGTATGCTGTGTAAGCTATGTGGTGTCAGCTATGTGGTGTAAGCGATATGATGTAAGTTGCGTGGTGTAAGCTGCGTGGTGCAAACTTTCTGGCGTGAGCTTTCCTGCGCAGGCTGTGTGGCGCAGTCTGTGCAGTGCGAGCTGCGTGGCAGGCAGTCCGAGGCGCCCCGGGGGGCGCCCACGGGGCGAGACCCAGACCCACTCCCCATGCGTGGGGCGCCCGCGAGGCACGCACGGGCGGCCGGGGAGGCGGGGCCCGGGCCCACGCCACCACACGCGGGGCGCCCACGGGCGGCCGCCAGGAGAAGTCTGGCCCGACGGGGCGCCTGTCTTTCACCACTCTGCCGCCATCAGTTGGAGGGGGGAGGTCACCACCCACCAAAACACCCCAACCCAACCCGAAGGCCTCAATTTGCCCTCCATTTCCAGTTGGGGGGGGGGTCGGGGAACATCGAAAAAACACGTATGGAACCCGTACCCCCCCAACCCGAAATTGGGGTCTTCGGGTTGGGTTGGGGTGGTCTGGTAGGTAGTCAGGAGGGGGTCCTCCTCCCCCTCTGCCTCCTCCTCATTCTCCACCTCCTTCCCCTCCAACTCGTGGTGGTGGTGGTGGAAAGGAGGCCCATCGTGGTCCATCCACCGCACGCGGGGGCGCTCACGGCGCTCCCACGGGCGCCAGCCATCCGATGCCCCAGCACATCCAAGTGCAAACATGCACCCTGCGAAATGCTTAAGAAATCATGGGTTAAGAAATTCATAGTCTCAGAACTTGAATAAGAACCCAACATTTCTATAAAATCTCAAGATTTACATTGAAACGTTAATGATAATCGAGACTCTGGCCGAAAACTTAAGTTTTCTTAAGCATCGCCTGAGGTGTGGCTTGGCGGATGAAGGGATGGGCTTTCTCATCGGGCCCTGGGCGCTCGTGCGATGCACCATGACAGCGCGAGATAATCCGGTGATATCGGGGGCCCAGGTCCGTAACAGTATACAGCTGTTCTGCGCATTGCAATCGCATGAGCCGTGGTGCTTCCCGATCCAATCACGTGTTCAAAGAATGGTGGTGGATAGTAGGATGTGAGTATACGTCCAAATATGCGTGCATGCCAGCGGTGATTGGGTGTGACAATGTATGCGAGTGAGCAACCAGATGCCATTCGGAGGTCACACATGTGAATGTGTGAATGCATGGTTGGGAAGGTTGCGCGGGAGTTGAGAAACATAGCGACGGCTTCGGAGACTCCAAACGAGGCATCGCCAGGGAAAGATGATGCTTCTCTGGTGCATGCATGTAGAGACTTCAGCTTGTCATGCCTTTCGTTTTCCTTTGAGTTCGCTAAAAATTGTACGTGAGCAGTGCTGAGACGCTTGGAGTTGTGGGCATATGTTTGACGCGTATACCAACGGCAATGTTGAGTAAATGCGTGCGCCCACAGCAGCAGAGGAGAGGCCACATGAGGAAGATCTCAGCCGAAACGCTTGCGCGATGCGCCCGTTCCATTTCACTCGGAGCGTCCTTGTTGTCGTCTCGTAGACGTTCGTTCCGTCTAAGGCTTGCAACCGATTCCTTGCTGACGCCACCCGATCCCAATATCCTGGGTCGTTGCTTGTCTGATTGATTATCGCAGGCGTTTGGATTGCGGAGTCCGTTGTCGCCAGGACATGGGCCTCGCTTGACAAGGGGCCCAGCGGGCTAGTGAAAGGCATCAGCTGAGGGTGTGTTGTCCCAGACGAGACCACACCTTTCGTTGGTGCTCGATCGTGGGGCTTTGTTAAATGCAACTATTTAGATTTTGCGCAGAAGACCTTGGGAAATCGCCGAAGACCTTCGAAGGCTGCCGAAACCGATGGACAACCAGGGCCCCACTGTCACAAACGTAATCTTGCCACCGCTCGCCATCCGCAGCTGGCTCGGGCCGTGTTGTGTATCGAGGGCATCTTATTGCGACGCTCAGCAGGGCGTACGCATTCGTTTGATTGTTGCATGCGGAATTGAATGTTTACATCGTGCGCTCGCGAATCTGACAGTCTGTTCGATTTTGATGCTGTCAGGGCGTCGCCGGTTCGATTCAGATGTTGTCAGGGGCGTCGCCAGGGCCTCGCGGATGTGAACTGGCAACGGCCGTGCTTGGTATAGGTCCGTTCGTTTTCTAGCGGCGTTCGAGGGTTTGTGCCTCTTAGGGTGCCGCTCGCTCACTGCAGGAGTCCCACTGTCGATTCAGGAGCCTGAGCACGGCATTCGACGTGCCCGTGGCCACAAAAACGAGAGCGGGGCCGGAGAGAGAGAGAGAGAGTCAAGCAGTGACGAAGCGTCTTGGCGTGCCTATAGTCCTACCAAACACTGTTCTAAGAACATTTTGTGGTTTGCACAAAATGTTCTTAGAACATTTCTGGTTGGGACTGTCTTGTTTTATCGCATCGGGCTCATGTTCCAAGAAAATTGTGTTCGTTCTTAGACAATTTTTGGGTTCTACGACAATTTCGTGGTAGGACTGTAGGAATGCCGGGACGGTCAGTCCTTGCTCAAGAGAGAGAGAGAGAGAGAGAGAAAAAAAAAAAAGGCCGCTCGACGTCTTGCGCTCCGGGCCCACCTCGCCAGACCCCTTCGGGTGTGCCCTGCCCTCTGGCGGTGTGCGCACGCCACGGGTCCTCCGGCTGATCGGCAAAAACCGTGAACCGCCCGCTCGACCGGGGTGCTGGCGCAAGTTTCAACGCGCCCCCCTGCCTTATGTTGTTCCCGTCCTACTTGGACCGCATCCCAGAAATAATTTCGAGCACCCAGAAAAGTATCAACAGTGTTTCGAAACAGTGTCGGGCGAGTGTCTCCCAGGGCCGGGCACGTGAAAATCATTGAGTTTCGGTAATTTTTTGGGCGCTCGAAATTCTCCCTGGTGGTCAAGGCTGAAGTAGGTTGGAGCGCCCTGGATTCAACGTTGGCTGGCATCGCCAGCGGGGCGCAGGATCTCGGCCAGTCGACAGGACGACACATCGCGGCGCAGCCCGCCAGAATAAGCTTGGGGCCGCGGTGGGTGTGCGCCACAATCCGCATGAAGCGGTGCAGTGTCTCGTCCACCAGCCGTCCCGCACTTGCTCGGCCTGCTCTCCTAAAACGACGCGAAGATCGGGACAAAATAGGATCGGGATAACTCGAAATCTCTGAGAATCGGCGGGCTTGGAGGATGTATTGGGCGCCGCGGCCGCTCCAGAGCGTTCCGGAACGCTCTGAGAGCGCTCCGGAACGTTTTGGAGCGATTTATCCCGATCTTAGCCCTGTTTTATCCCTGGGAGAGGTCGCCAAAGTTGAGATCGGCAAGCTCCAGGACAGGGCCAAAGCGCTGATCGCGGAGGGGAGCGGGCGCCCGGCGGAGCAGACGAAGGGGAGGGCAGTGCCGAGGAGCAGAGGGGAAGGACGACGACGAGGGGCGAGGAGTGATGGGCGAGGGTGGAGGTGGGGCCCCCCTGGGAGGGAGGAGAGCTTGGGGAGGAAGGTCAAGGGAGGAAGGAGGGAGGAAGGATGAAGGGAGGAAGAAGAGGAGGAGGGGGAGGGAGAGGGGGAGTGGGAGGGGGAGGAGTGCAGGAGGAGAAGGTGGATGCGGACGAAGAGCACGAGAAGAGCGGCGGGATGTGTGTTTACAGTGTGCTCACACGCGGGTGGCTTGGAACATGTCTGTTTGCTTGCCGCGGGAAGTATCGCAATTATTGTTGTTCTGCAACGCGTTAGAGTTTCATATCGTGACGCCGACGCACATGTTCTACTCTGGTCCGGGTCTGGCAGTCAGTGTGAAAGCCTCAGCCACATTGCATTGCAACGCATTGCCTATGCCAATTCAGCAAGCATCATACGAAAGTTCCAGCTAGGTTAGCTGTAGTTGCGCAGCGTACGGTTCACATGCAGCCTTAACAGGGGTGCCAACGGCAGGACTCAGTCGTCTTTGACGGTACAGCGTGTCGATGTGTTTCAGAGTCTGTCAGTGTCTCAGCACCCTTTTCACGTCGTGCGCCGGCGCAGCTCTCAAAGCAGACACACGCATCCCAGACTCGATTCCAGTCGGCCCTGATTAGTAGGTCGACCCTGCCAGATCACGGGTACCCTTGTGTCCTGTGCCTCGCGACCCGTGCCTTCTTACATTCCTACGGCGATGCGGCCCTTGGAAGGGTCTTGTGTCCTCTCTCGGGGGCCACATGCGAACCCCACCCCTGCCCTCCACGATTTTTGAGAGGGAGGGTGGAGTTCACTTCGCTCGGGAGCTCTCGAACGAAGTGAACCCCACCCTCCCCCTCAGAAAATCGTGGGGGGCAGGGGTAGGGTTCGCATGTGGCCCCCTACTCTCGCGTGTCCTCTCCAATCGAGCTCGACTGCAGTTCTCGGAGCGGCTGCGGCTCGATACGGTGCGAAGTGAAACGGCGGAGGCGGTGGCCCGAGGGCGCGCGGGGCCACGAGCACCCACGGTGCCTTCGCCTTCGTTTAGAATTGTGGAAGTCGATAAATGGAGGAGAGGAAGCATGCTGCCAAATAATTCCCAGATGTCTAAAAAGTGTTTCAAGCATGTTTAAACCTGTAAAAGCATGTCTGAAACGTTGTTATAACACGTTATATACATGTTAAAACACATCTTTAATTCAATGGTAGGATTGTTAGAGTGTCCATTGCCATGGCATCCACAAGTTTACAAGGTACGGGGGTCCCACGGGCAATGCTCGGCAGGGAACAAGTGTGCCAATGACACGCTGCCGTTGGGGAACCCGTCAGCGCGTTACTACTTTTAAGTCGGGCCTGTCCCTCTACAGGAGGAATATTCAAACGTAGTCCAAACATAGTCTGGGAACTATTTGTTGTTTCTAGTATGTTTGTGGGCATGTTGGGAGTATGTTTTGAGTATTCTTATTTTTCGACGAAATCCTCCTGTAGGGGGACAGGCACGACCTAATACTACCTTGTGTTCGCCAGAAGACCCGTTGTTTCCTCCACAGTACACGTTGATGGGGTCCCCAGGGAAGGGAGTCGGAGGTTGATAGACCTCCTACCCTGACACGTCGATCAATGAATTGGCCGTTTTCGGTTCGCGAGAGGGCGTCGCGGCCGTCATTTTGCGGGTCCAGGTCCGTCGGTTTCGGTCCCAGGCCGTTTTCATTTAGGGGAGGTTTACTAAAAGGAGGTTTCTCCACCGCCGAGAGAGGCGTGTCGTTGATATTGTTTCGCCCCCCAATACGGAGCAGACTCAGAGGCAGGCCACATCACAGTGCAATTCGGGCGTCTCGTAAAGTGGGGGCGATACATCGGGGGGGCAGCCAGGGCCGCAGGAGAAGGGGGCCCGACAGGGGCCCCCCCCTCTGAGCTCCAAAGGGTGCTGAAAGGTGCACCCTTCTTCGCCCCCCCGCCTGTTGGCCCGCTGCCCTTGGGCGGGGCCGCCTCCTCCTCGTCCTCCTCGTCCTCGTCCTCGCCCTTCTCCTCGTCCTCCTCCCCCTTCCTCGTCCTCCTCCTCCTCCTCCTCCTCCTCCTCCTCCTCATCCTCCTCCTCTTCCTCCTCCTGGGGCCCGGGCGGAGGAGCCAGGGCCTCTCCTCGAGGCCGAGGCCTGTCATCAATTCGGATGCGACTCCTGGGAGGTCAAATTCTGATTTTGCCATGGTCCGAAATCCGGCTTGATCCCGCTGAATCCCGCTGAATCCTGCTGCATCTCGAGAGCTGGCGCAGCGCGCCCCTGAAAAAAGTGCTGACGCTCTGACGCTCCTGACGCTCCTGACGCTCTGACGCTCCTGACGCTCTTGACGCTCTGACGCTCCTGACGCTCCTGACGCCCCAGGCGTCAGGGGTCAGGGGCGTCAGAGCGTCAGGAGCGTCAGGAGCGTCAGGAGCGTCAGAGCGTCAAAAGCGTCAGAGCGTCAAGAGCGTCAAGAGCGTCAGGAGCGTCAGGGAGCGCCAGGGAGCGTCAAGGGGCGTCGGGGCGTCAGGAGCGTCAGGAGCGTCAGAGCGTCAGGAGCGTCAGGAGCGTCAGGAGCACCAGGGGCGTCAGGAGCGTCAGGAGCGTCAGGAGCGTCAGAGCGCCAGGGGCGCCAGGAGCGTCAGGGACGTCCACAACTCCGGCGCCGCCGCTCGAGACATCCTCACAACTCCAGCGCCGCCGCTCGAGACATTCTCACAACTCCGGCGCCGCCGTTCGAGACGTCCTCACGACTCGGGCGCCGCCGCTCGAGACATCCTCACAACTCCGCCGCTCGAGATCTGGCGGGGCGTCAGGAGCGTCAGGGGCGT